GACATACGTGAGGCCAAGAAACATGAAAAAATGCTCATCATCACTGGTCATTAGAGAAATGCAAATCAAAACCACACTGAGATATTATCTCACACCAGTTAGAATGGTGATCATTAAAAAATCTGGAGGCAACAGATGCTGGAGAGGATGTGGAGAAATAGGAACACTCTTGCACAGTTGGTGGGAGTGTAAATTAGTTCAACCATTGTGGAAGACAGTGTGGCGATTTCTCAAGGATCTAGAAATAGAAATTCCATTTGACCCAGCAATCCCACTATTGGGTATATACCCAAAGAACTATAAATCGTTCTACTATAAAGACACATGCATATGTATGTTTATTGCAGTCCTGTGTACAATAGCAAAGTCCTGGAACCAACCCAAATGCCCATCAATGATAGACTCAACAAAGAAAATGTGGTACATATACACCGTGGAATACTACGCAGCTGTAAAAAACGATGAGTTCATGTCCTTTGTAGGGACTTGGATGAATCTGGAAACCATCATTCTCAGCAAACTGACCCAAGAACAGAAAGACAAGCACCATATGTTCTCACTCATAGGTGAGTGTTGAGCAACGAGAACACGTGGACTCAGGGAGAGGAACATCACACACAGGGGACAGTTGGGGGGGGATGGGGAGAGACAATGGGGAATGGGGAGGGAAGGGAGGGATAACATGGGGAGAAATGCCAGATATAGTGTGCACCTAAAGTAAAATAAATTAAAAAAAAAAAGAATGATTCTTTCTATGCTCATTAACTAGGAAAATGTTTTAGCTTTATTTTTAGAGTCTGTGTTTACACACATAAAATTGTGTTTTCAAAAATAACTTTAAATCAAAATGTGTAATTATTAAAAGTGCACATGCCTGAATGTGTGCCTAGATAAAGTCTTAGTGTGGCAGACCATCTGTGTCCTGGCACAAGCTGAGATGGTGTGCATGGGATGTGGTGTCCTTCAGGAGCATCCCCAAGTCATAGCTGAGTCAGTACTCACCTGGTTCCGTGGGGTTTTGCTGGATGGCTCTTGTCTATTAGGCTTTCAGCATCCAGGTGCGCCTCTTGCACTCACTAATCACACCCCACTGTCTTCCTCCACCCCACCCTCAATGCTGCAGGAGTTGTAAGACTAAAATCTAAATTTCCCAGGCCCTCTGATGGCTCAGTTCCTGGATGCAGCTTAGGTTCTGCAACAAGATGCAGCTGCAGATGGAGGTAAAGGCCACTTCCTAGCTGTTTTTATGCTTGACAAGTGTGCTCATTTTCTAGGGCTGCAGTGGCAAAGCACCTGCTGTGAACTGCGCTGTGTTCCCCAGAATTCTGATGCTGACGCTCTAACCCCCAACCCCAACATGATAGTATTAGGAGGTGCAGCCTGTGGGAGGCAATTAGGTTGAGATGAGGCCATGAGGGGTGGCCCCTAGGAGGAGATTAGTGCTCTTACAAGGAGACACAGCAGAGCTGCATTCCTCTGTCTTTCTCTGAAGCCAGGCTGAGATTAGTACCTCATACAATAGCTGGAGAGGACTGACTAGGTGTTCTTGGCCTTCTGCCTTCCTCCACATGAGGATGCAGTGTTCATGTCTTCTGCTATGTGAGGTACCACCCTGGAAGCAGAGGGCAGGCCCTGCCAGACACTGAACCTCCCAGCACTTAGATCATGGAGTCCCAGCCTCCAGAACTGAAAAGAATAAATGTCTGTTTTTATAAATCACTTAGTCTCAGATATTTCGTTATAACATCAGGAACAGAGTAGGACAATTAATCACCAATTAGTGTGCAATACCAAGAAATATTGCACATCTCTTCTATCCAATGCATCAACAATCCCCACAGCTCTGCCTCGCAGACATGTCCTGATCATCAATTACTTCTCCATTGTCACCTTTGCAGGCCCTATCATCTCTCATCCAGACACAGCTCCAACTCTTTCACCCTCTCAAGGACATAGATTGGGTTATGTCAATCACCCGCCTAAATCTCCCAGTGTCCTCACAGTGCCTCTAGACCAAGATGTCAAGGTCCAGCTGAAACACACAGGGTCCTACACGACCTGGCCCTGGCCCCATCACTCATTGCTCTGTTCTTCAAACAACCAAGCAAGTTTCTGCTGCTTCTGCTACATGCTGTTCCCAACCACATCCACAGATGCGGGCTGGCTCCATCACATTACTCAGGGCTGATACCATCTCAGAGAGGCCTTCCTTAGCCACCCAAGTTAAAATAACTCCCTCTCCTACCAAGAGTCACTAGCCACCCTATTCCTCCATTTTTTGTCCTCACAGCTGATGGCACTGTCTGTGGCTTCAATAGCAAGAGCTTTCTTGCCCTGTTCCCCAGGGTCTGGAATAAAACTGTGTAGAATGAATCAATAAATGAAAATCCCTAACTCTAATGAGCTGGTCTACCTGGGAAAGCAAGAGATGCAAACAACAGGTTAGACAATCTTCAAGGGAGTGTACAACCACAGGAAAAGTGTGAACAAGCTTTGTTCAACTCAAAAATGTTTTTAAAAATAAATCTACATCAAAAAAGAAAATAAGCATCATCACACAGCTTAAATCTCATACAAATGAATTCTAGAATGGTCTAATGGCCACATTAAACTTAGCTTACAATAAGCACCAAACCCAAAAACTACTCCCGCAGTTGTCCTGGGGAAGGCAGATACTCACACTAACAAGGAACTTTGATGAACTGGAAAAATAGACCAGTGGTGTTGATGCGCAGTTCTGTTGTGATTCTCTGATTGCCTACTCAGTGTACAGATTACGACCCAAAGACAGGGATGCTTCTGGTTTGAGGGTTACTGAACAAGTATCTGGGAACAGGTGTCCACACACTCAAGAATAATTAAGGAGAGCACGAAGACTGTGTCTGTCCTACTGCTGGGATATGGAAGGAGCCAACAGAATGAGTAGCAAACTGAAGGGGACGGTTCTTCTGAAATTGGGCAGCCTCAGTTATTATTCTTGTACTAATTACTACTGACCTTAAAATTAAGGCTGGCCCAGATATTTACACAGCAATGTTCATTACACACAGAAGCCAAAAGGTAGAAGAAGCCAAAAGTCCATCAGATGAATGGATCAACCAAACATGGTCTATACATGCAATGGAATATTATTCAGCCATGAAAAGGAATGAAGTTCTGACACATGCTACCCCATGGATGAAGCTTGAGGACATCGTGCCAAGTGAAATAAGCTGGTCACAAGAAGACAAACACTGTAGATCACACTTATGTGAAATATTCAGAATAGGTCAAGTCACAGAAACAGAAAACACATCAGAGATTACAAGGTGGTTGAGAGGGGGAAATGGGTGATTATTATTTAATGAGTGGAGAATTTTTGTTTGGGATGATAAAAAAAAGTTTGTGAATATAATTAATGCTACAAAAATAGGTGAATGGAAAGTTTTATTATATATATTTTATGATACATTTAAATCTTAATGAAAATACTAAAGACATTGATTAGACACTTTAAATGAGTGAACTGTAAAGTATGTGCATTATATATCATGAAAGCTGTTAAAAAGAAAATGATGATTGACTGTTGAGGTTCAGCATGAAATAGGATCTTTAACCCTTGGTCCAGTGTTCTGGATGTAGGGCATAAAAATATCCTCTCCATTTTGAAAATAACAAAGAAATCCCTTCAAGATGCAATTATTAGTTTGAAAACATTATCATGTATTGCATTGGCTTTTAGAATGTGTATTAGTCTGTTGTCACGCTGCTGATAAAGACATACCCAAGACTGGACTATTTACAAAAGAAAACAGACTCAGAGTTCCATGTGGTGGGGGAGCCTCACAATCATGGTGGAAGGCGAAAGCTATGTCTCACATGGTGGCAGACAAGAGAAGAGAATGAGAGCCGAGGGAAAAAGGTTTCTCCTTATAAAACCATCAGATCTTGTGAGAATTACTCACTACCAGGAGAACAGCATGGGGGAAACAGACCCCATTATTCAATTATCTCCCACCAGGTCCCTCCCACAGCATGAGGGGATTATGGGAGCTACAATTCAAGACAAGATTTGTGTGGGGACACAGCCAAACTATATCAGAGCCGGTGCATAGAGAGGCACTTAACCTCACAGGCAGGACTTCATGTGACATTCATTCAAACTATGTCAGAAACACAGCGTGCCCAGCGCTCCCATTCCACAGGTGCTGGAGAGGCCTGTGAAGCCCCACACTGATTCCAAGAGAGGCTGTTACCTAGAAAAATGTTTAATCATGTGTTTGCATAGTTGGTTCACTTGAAAAGTTATTTTTCAGAAATGTGTTCCCAAGTAATCAAGGTAGTGTCACCTCAGTGCCTTGTGTCATGGAACAAGTTGTGATGTTTTCTACTGAATATTAGTACTAGATAATTCCATCCTTACCTATCCTCAGAATTCACTCAGAAAATAGGCAATAGGTGGAAAATCAAAGAAGTCAAAATACAAGGAGAGTGAATATGGCAGTGCTAAGACCGGCCTTGGGCAGTCAGAATGCCCAATACTGAAAGCTTCCCTGGAACAAGGCAGTGCCAAGGACTAAGCCCCTTGCGGCCTGATGCCAGCACCAGTTTCTGCTCTGATTGGGTTTCTTACAACCCATAACAAATCCTCAGCAATTCTTTCTCTGGGGTGCCAAACAGTTTATTCTTTTTTAGACGATGTCTTACTCTGTCGCCAAGACTACAGTGCAGTGGCACAATCTCAGCTCACTGCAACCTCTGCCTCCAGGGTTCAAGCAATTCTCTTCCTCAGCCTCCATGCAGCTGGGATTACAGGCACCTGCCACCACAGCCGGCTATTTTTTGTTTGTTTGTATTTTTAGTAGAGATGAAGTTTCACCATCTTGGCCAGGCTGGTCTTGAACTTCTGACCTCGTGATCCACCTGCCTTGGCCTCGCAAAGTGCTGGGACTACAGGCGTGAGTCACTGCGCCCAGCCAGTTTCTAATTTTTTATAACCCGAAAAGGTAGCCTCTTTGCACGGGCAAAGGCAAACTCCACCAGATATAACCATGCGTGGGCACAAGACAATGTGAAAGAAGCCACCTGCCAGTGTGGAGAGCCTCTCAGCCTCTACTGCAGGGTCTCCAGGTGTGAGCTGTTCCCTCAACCACAGGAGTCATTACACACACATGCCAGTTCCTGGAGATGATCACAAGCGAAATGGAGGTGGCTCCTGAAACATCAGAACACCTAATGCTACATCATTAGTCTGCTAATGTTTGCAATCTGTTACTCTTCTAAGCCCTTGCAAGGTGTCTTTCTGAAGCCAGACTTCATGGTGGGTATTGAGAACATGATGGTAACAAACATAAAAAAATCTCTGCGGCACAACAGTTATACCACAGAGCATTGAGTCACATGGCTGATTCTCCCCACATTCAGGCCGCTCAAGCTGCTTAGGATGTGTAGGGGAGAGGACGTCAGCGATAGGTGGGGAACTGGGGAATGAGCAGGGCAGCAAAGTATCTGCAGGGAGCCAGGTTCTTTAAGGAGTCCTGCACCCCATGTGCACCGCAGCAGTATGCACAACAGCCAAGATATGGAATCGACCTGGGTGTCCATCAACAGACGAAGGGGTAGAGAAAATGTGGCACATATATGCAGTAGAGTACAATTCAGCCATGAAAAATAGTAAAAAACTGTGGTTACATGAATGATCCTGGAGGTTCTACGTTAAGTGGAGTCAGCCAGGTGCAGAAGGTTATATACCACAGGTTCCCACTAATATGCAGAAGCTTAAAAAGTGAATCCAGGGAGGCAGAGAGAAGAATGGTGGTTCCCAGGGGCTGGGAAGGTTTGGGGGAGAAGAGAAGAGAGGAGGGAGGTTAATGAGTACACAGGTACATTAGATGGGAGAAATAAACTCTCATGTTCAATAGCACCATTGGGTGACTAGTGACAACAGTAATCTATTGTATATTTCATGATAGCTGGAAGAGATTTGGAATACTCCCAACACATGGAAATATTTGAGGTGTTGGATAACCTAAATACTCTTATTTCGTGGTTACACATTGTATGGATGTATCAAAGTATCTATAGACGTGTAGTCTATAAATATGTACAGTTATTATGTATTGATTCAAAAAAAAGGATCTGAAGGAAGGAGAGCTTCACCTCAGGAGGCCAGTGGGGACACTGCCTACCCTTAGCATTTCCCACCCTGCTGAAAGGCCTGCACTGTGTGTGTGACTGACCCCAGGAAGAGCAAGGAGCCCTTCAGAAAACAGATTTCTACAAATTCCCTCAGTGCAATTCTGCTAGTTCTATGTAGGAAACTCAACACACAGATACCTGGGGCAGAAGGCTCAGTACCCAGCATTGGCAACATGGCACCCACAGCGCCAGGGAGCCATCTCCCTGCCTCTTCCCAGGAGAGATTCCCTCCTCCACCCAGCATTGGCAACATGGCACCCACAGTGCCAGGCAGCCCTCTCCCTGCCTATTCTCAAGAGAAAAATTGCCTCTCCCTCCATTCTTGCCTCCTTTCCTTCCTTCCTTCCTTCCAGGGACACTTGCACACCTGTCACATACCCCACACTCTCCTGGGTAGGTGTTCAGTTCAAGCAACGAATAGAACCAAGCCCTTGCCCTGTAATGCTAGGATTTTAGCTGGAGAGACATTTAAATAAAAACAATGGATTCACAATTTAATATTATAAAGTGATGTGTTCAGTGAAAGGCAAGAGAAGGAAGGAAGTTGGGTGTTTGTGGGGAAGCGGTGAGCATGGCAGTTGTGGATTCCACCTGACGATGGAGAGAGCAGAGGCATGATGCAGAGGATGGATCTGGGCATGGGGCCCCCCTAGCGTCAGGGCACCATCATGCCTAGGTCCCCTGCAGCAAGGAGAAGCACCTCCAGAAGGAGAGCGCTGCTGCGCACAACCCCGTGGGAGAGGCCCAGCCCAGCGTCAGGCCAGAGGAGACAAGCCTTCGACTAATTCATTCACTGAAAGTGTTCTATGGGGGCAGTCAAATCGAATATTTGAAATCTCAGAAAATTTCAAGCCTAAAGTTGACGTCACCAGTAACAAACTTCTCACACCCCAGAATAAAGATCCTTCCTAGGACCAAGAGATGAAAAGGTAGTTTCCTGCCTAGCAATTTTCTGAGAACCACTTCCACCAGTGAAACCGGTTTATTTCTTGTCCTGGGACTCAACCAACTGCTAAGCCTGCTCTTTGCAGGTCGAGACGGCTTGGCTGGCCTGGCCCTGGGAAGGCCTTGGGCAGCAAAGGCTTTGTGTCCAGGACACCCCAGGCCCCCGTCCTGCTGCAAGCACAAGCGTTTCTCCTCCTACTAGACTTGCTGACCTCGTGGGGTTCCTGGAACCCTGACCACTTACCTCACCATAAGTCTCCCGATCCTTAGGTGTGAATCCCTAGCACACTCCTGTTTCCTGATCCTGATAATTTTATTCCCTGCTCCTTATCCAACAGAGACAGCATGAGTCAGCAAAGATGCACACTTGAACCACAGAGCCAGGTCCCTGACTTCGCAGAGCTTAGGCTCTGCAGTGGGGTTCTCAGCCCTAGAAGCACATTAAAATCACCTGGGGAGTTTTAAAAATAGTCATATGCTGGTCCCACCCCAAAACAGGAAAACTGGTGTCCTTATGGGTGGAACCTAGGCACTGGTATTCTTTAATAGCTCTGAGATATTTTGATGTACAACCAAGATGACCTGCAGACATTCCTTGGGGCATACAGGCATAGATGCTTTTAAGGGAATTTATTCCCAAACCCTTTACTTTTAAGTCGTTTTTCTGAATATTTATTCTCTTGAAATGGAGCCTGTGGCTCTCCTTTTCCATCAAGTCCATCACAAAGCCTTCTCCCACTCACAAGACAAAAGCAGCCTCTGCCTCCCTCCCACTGGCCTTTGCAAGGGTGCACTGCTGTGCAATGGAAAGCCTTACCATTGACGCACAACGAGTGGCTCTACTCCTCTATGTAGGGAAAGTGATCGCTCCTGGTTTTCAGGCAAGAAATTCTGCTGCAAGGTATTTCCTGCAGGCTTGCTTTCAACAAAATCATAGGAAGATTTGATTGAGATGTTAACTGATGATTATAATAAATCTTTGATAATACATCAATTATATAATTTTTAGCTTCTAATTAAGAAGGCATTCAAAGAGGAACAAAGCACATATGAAATAACTTTTATTTTCATCAGTTTATTTCCCTGAACAGCATTCATCACTACTTATATCTATAACAAAAATAACAGAGTCGACGCTAAAAAAGATCTCATTCTGGTAATAATAGCACACATGAATACATAACTTAAAAGCGGAAAAACTGACAAATCAGAGACCCATCAATTAACAGAGCCATTTCCAATAGTGCTCTTTGTATATTTAATAATTGTTGAAATCAATGTTTTAGTTTTTATCAATTTTGTACTATTATAATTTATGAAGAATTTTAACACTTTCAGCCTTTTAGTCAAAAGAATTTTTAAAAATCAGTCCATATGCATATCTTTAAATAGGACAACATAATCAATAAATGACTTTTGCTCTTTAAAATATTATTTTAAGATATAGTTATCTACAGAAAGCAGAATGGAATTATGAGCCCAAGGAGAAAAAGCATGTCACATTTCTAATTAATGAAAAATATGTTCATGTGACTTTTAATCAACTAGTGATATCAAATCTCTATGGTGTCTAGATTACATTGCATAATAATAAAAATTATATTTTAAAGTGTTAATAGTGACAGACCCTGGAACTTAATTGCTTTGTAAGTATTTGAAATTATGACAAAAATATTTAGAATTCAATCTAAAAATGCATAAATGAGTAGATGATATTTCTAAAGTATTTTAGAGTGTATGTGAACAAAAGTGCATGAAGCCACTGGTCAAGAACCTCAGTTCCCATCACCCACCATCTAATATGAACATGATCGACACTTCCTAGCTTCAATCCACCAGTTCTTTGCTGGGCTCTTGTACTGGTATTTTATGGGAAAGCAACAGCAGGCTGACTAGCTCCCTTCTGAAAAGGAGTGATTTTCTGAAATTGCAGGAATCCAGGGAGAGAACAAGGATAGAACCATGAAACTCTGATGCCCAGGCTTCCCAAAGCAGAGAAGTCTGAGTTCTTTCTGCCAGGGAGAGAGAAATGGGAAACAGAGCCAGTATAGGAGCCACATTCTCTTCGCAGTGCCTTCATTCACCTTGAGGTTCTTTTTTTTCTTTTTGTGGTAAGATAGTTCACCAGAAAATTGTCTTAATAAGGACAGAAATACGCAGAGGCTTGATATATCACAAATCTTAATCAAAGACAATGTTTAAAGTTCTCCAGAACCTGACTGAACAAAAGAGAGTTACATAAAAGAAGGACTGAGTGTGTGTTAGCAGAAAGTGTCAGACAGATAGCAGACAGCAAATGAGAGCATTGTTCCCAATAGTGCAGGGGACCCCAGAAGTGCACATGAATGCATGGAGAGATGTGTGCGTGTGCATACACACACACACACACACAGCAGACATGCACAGAGATGCAAATGCCCACAGATGCACACACAGAGAGATGCACACACAGATGCACGTGCACACAGATGCACAGAGAGATGAACACACAAAGACACACACGTACAGAAATGCACACCCCCCTAGAGGCACACACAGATGCATAGAGATGCAGAAACACAGATATAAACACAGAGAAGTGCACACAGATGCACATGCACAGACAGACACAGATGCACACAGCCATAACACTAGAGCTCACAGACCACCATCTCCTGCAGCTAAATTGGACTTCCTTCAACACCACCAAGAAGAAGGCCTATGTGACAGGTTACACCCTGTATCAACCCAAAGAACAAGCGTCAGACCTGAGAAAGTAATAAAGCCCACCTAGAGACAAGTTGTAGCTGACATGTTTGGGGGAAATGCCTCCTGACACTTCATTTTTCCATCAACAGCAGGTGTGGAATGGGAGGGCTAGTCTACAGAAATATTTTGTAAGCCCCCAAAA